TGATAAACCTCCTATATTTAAATTAAATTGTGTATAGTACATTAAAATATATTTTTTGTAGCTGATTATTAATACAGAGAAATGAATAGAAGATGTAATTATAATTTTTCTCAAATATTACCTTTCTAAGTACTGATTATTATAGAGATGACTGATTACATGGAGTGTCCAAACTGATCACTGTAATACTGCTATTTATTTGTGTTGAGAATTGCCACATGAAAGAGACAGCAACATTATCACATGGTAGGAGGCTGCATAATGCTGGTGTAAGTGTAGAACTTTTCTACATTTTATTATGTTGCCCTTGAATGAGTCCAGAGGAGGGCAGGAAAGCTGTTGAAAGGGCTGGAAGGTATGTCCTATGAGGAGTGGCTGGGAACTTTGAGTTTTGTCTAGTTTGGAGAAAAGAAGGCTGAGGATTGATCTCATTGCTCTCTACAGCTTACTGAGGTAAGGAAGTGGACAGGGAGTGCTGAATTCCTCTCCCCAGTATCCAGTGATAGAATGAGTGGGAAGGGTTGAAAACTGCCCCATACACTTCTTTCCCAAGAAGGTGGTCAGCCAGTGGGACAGACGTCCTAGACGGGTGGTGGATGCCCCAAGCCTGTCAGTGTTTACAAGGTATTTGGAAAATGCCCTTAATAATATGCTTTAACTTTTGATCAGCCTTGAATTGTTCAGGCAGATGGACTAGATGATCATTGTATATTCCTTCTAGCTGAAATAGTCTATTCTGTTCCTATTCTATTCTATTCTATTCTATTCACTCATCAGCTTCACTTGGTTTCTGTACTTCCAAATAAAAAATTTGGACTTTGGGATACGATTTGCAGGGGTGTTGACTGCATGTGCACAATAATCAGTTTTGTAGCTTTAAGAGACGCTAATTCTTCCCTTGGCTGTCTTAATTGTACCATGTAACTGCTGGTTACTGAAAACAGAACCTTTGCAACTCATTTCTTGGGTTGAAAACTTTTCCTCTTTTTTTTATCCACTTGTACCCTCTGTTATATTCTAGTTTGTTTTTTTCTAAAAATTTCTCAAAATATCAAGGATGTGTTATCATGCAGTAGCATGAACTGAATAATATTCTTAAAATATTCTCTCCTATTGTCTACAAAAAAAAATATTCACATGTAATAGCAACAAAAAGTCACTTTTTGGAACTGTGGACCCTTAAAATGGAAACGTTTATCACTATCACGATGTGAATTCCACATCATAAAATAAATTTTTGTTTTTCAGAGCCAAAGCTAACAGATTTCTAACAGTGAAATTCTCATCTACATATAAGAACCTCATATCTGATATGTTTTGTTTTCTTTTTACAACAGGTGTTTTGCTAGAAATTCCACAGTGGGTTGTTTTGTCCTCTTTCTGCTTTGGATAACTGTCTATGAGTATACTCTTCTGAGCTAAATTCACAGGACAGAGATATACATATGAAATTTGTTTTACAGGAAGAGATTCCTGATTTTTTACTTTTTCTGAGGACAGTATTGTCCTGGAAAATATTTCTCCTAAAAATGCAACAGAAAGAAGAAAGAAGAGGAAGTACACACAATGATAAGAACCAGATGGCCAATGTCTGTGCTTTGATGTGCAGTGAAAGACTTTGAGAAATGGTGATTTGGTCTCAATCCAGACCAGGGATCTGGAGCAGATTGGAAGATGATTTCCTCTCCAGTTGCATATTCACCAGACCCATATACCATGGGATGCAATAGACTGAAACAAAAGAAATTTGTCTCTTTTTTGTGGTCTCTTTCTCTTTGTGTTACTGAAGTGTTGCACTTAATGTAGTGAAACAAAAAATCAAGATGATCTGTGTGCAGACCAGATAGAAAAAGACTACTTACAAAAGAGTGATATAGGAGATGATTCACTAGGTAAATCTGCTCAGGAGAATCACAGTCTTTTAGCACAAAACCAGTATTTTATTTTGATGAATTTTAAATTCTTGGTTGTGTTTAGCAGTGACCAAACAGATTTCTGTGTTTGGAGGAAGACAAGCAATCTCCAAAAAGAATGAGACTATGACCCCTCTAAGATTTTAAAACTCAAAATGAAAAAATCTACACAACAAACTAGTATGCACTAGTGATTAGACCTTGACAGAAACACAATACAGACATAGAATCACTGTCACAACTCCTAAAATTGTGCTCTTTCCCCACCAACCCCACCTTCCTTTTGCCTAACTCCATTTGTAGATTCGTAAGTGTATAAAAATGCTCCTTATATTTAAAACAAGTTTTGTATTCTTCCCTCACAAGCTGTTAGAAATATTTTACTCTACTCACATGATGCCTGGCAGGAAAGTACTGCTTAACAATTTCTGGGTTGGTTTGAAGTAGAAGTATCAGGCTTATGTAGTCACAGTATTTCAATATGGCTCTGCTGTAGGAGGTAACTTTTCTTCTACTACACACCACAGCAAGAAATACTGGCACAGGTTCAACAAGAAGATTATCAGTGGTCAATTTTTCAAAGCCAGGAATGGAATATTGTAAAGGATCCATATCTTGTAATAAAAAACCTAAACCTGCTACTTCAAATATAATAAAATCTATGAACAAAGTAAAAAACTAATTCTTTACAACAAAAGCAAATTTCTTGAGATAAAAATAGGTAATTTTACTCAAATTTCTCTAGATGTTAATATTCCAAGTTCAGCTTCTTACTTTGTAGCTCATTAATCAACATCATGTTCTCCGGGAACACAGAAACAGAAGATTCTATCTTCTTTTCTATTTGCATTTAGTGCTTGATGCAAAAAAAAAATTAAGTCTTACTTCTGCATTGTGTTTGACACTGTATAGTATTAATATGGTAATCCCCAGAGCAATTTTCCCTTATTCCTTGTTCCAAGGTATTTTGTTTGTTGCACGTTAATAAGCCAGATTATCTGGTTACCTGAGCATTTGATATCTAAATTCTCAATATACAGAATTGTTTAACAAGCTTGCCTGCCCACTTATTATATAAATTAATCCCAGGTGACATACTTCAAGAGATATGCTTAATGTCATCTTCGGTTGTATTATTTTAAAAACACATTTCTGCTAGTTAAAAGGCTTTGAAATTCATTGAAGGCTTGTTCTAGCTTTTTATGTGTGTGTGTGGAGGGTATTTTATTTTTATTTTTCTCCTTTTCCTGCAATTGAAGAGAAGTTAATGACAAATATATTGACTGAGTATTCTAGAACTTGTTTGGGAAACTGTAGTAATTATTCTGCTATTCATTCTCATAAATGTGATCTAGCATATTCTAATCAAATCTGTTATTGTCTTGAACCTTTTGAGTACCATGTTGTGCATCAAAAAGGACTATCTGTCTTTAACTCCAGCTGTCAACTAAACCCAACACAGCCAGTCATTCACTGACCACCGATGGGATGGAGGAGAGAATCAGAAGACTAACACTGAAAACTCTTGAATTGAGATAAGGATGGTTTAACAAGTAAAGCAAAAGCCATGCATACTAGGAAAGCAGAACAAGGAATTCATTCACTGTTTCCCACCAGCAGGCAGGCATTCAGGCATCTCCAGGAAAACAGGGCTCTGTCACATTTGATAGTTACTTCAAAAGACAGATCCCATCACTCTAAAGGTTCCCCCAGTTTTTTATTGCTGAGAATGATGCCATATAGTGTGAAATGTCCCTCTCATCATTTGGGGTCAGCTGTCCCAATACTCTTAACTCCCTGTGCACCCTCAGCCTCCTTGATGGTGGAGTGGGGTGAGAGGGAGAAAAGTCCTTGAGATGTGTAAGCACTGTTCAGCAATTACTAAAATATCCCTATGTTATCAACACTGTTTCCAGCACAAATCCAAAGTAGCACCATACTAGCTAATATGAAGGATACTAATTCTATTTTAAAACCAGCACATAAAGACACAAGGCAAAAAACTAGTTGCAACAAAGGAAATCCAAACTGCACATTAGGAAACTGAATGCTTAACTGCAATGACAGCAGTTAAGTACCAGAACAGGGAAAGGGTGGAATCCCCATCCCTAGAGATATTTAAAACTTGATTGGAGAAGTTGTGAACAGTCTTATTTAAGGTTTTAAACTATCCTTCATTCAAGTGGGGTCTTGATTTCCAGACATTCCTTCCAACCTCTTTTTTTTCTTTGATTCTGTGATCTCACTCCACGCATACTACTTGAAATTACAAGCATTTAGAATGTGGAGGCTTCATCTCCAGTCTTCAATATTTTCCTTGTCTGGAAACTTATTTCATGCTAGACTAGGTTCAAAGGTAGAAATTTTCTTCTTCCTCTAGGAATGTGAATGAATTTGTGCCAATTAAGTCAGTGAGATTAACCAAAATACTCCTTTAAGTGTATGTGGCAGACTGTGTGCTATGGATAATTGTATTGGGTCTTGGCTGAGGTGAAGTTCCATTTTCCCATAGCAGCCCTCACAGTGCTGTGCTGTGCATTCATAGCTAGAAAGGTGCTGGTAAGACTCCAGTGTTTTGTATACTGCTGAGCAGTGCTGGCACAGCATGAGTGCTGTCTCTCCAGTATTCTGCCCCTCATCAGTAGACTGGGGATGGGTAAAATCCTGGGAGGGGACACAACTAGTACAGCTTATCCAAACTGACAAAAGGGACATTCCATACCATGTGTCAGCTCAGATATAAAAGCTAAGGAAAGGAGGAGGAAGTGAGGGGCATTTCTTATTTACATTTGCCTTCTGGAGCAACTGCTACATGTGCCGAAGCCCTACTTCATGGGAAGTGGCCAGACATTGCTTGCTGTTAGGAAGTAGAGAATAAAGTCTTTTTTTTTCCACTTTGCTTGTGCACACAAGACCTTTCACTTGTGCTTTGGTAAACTGCTTCATCTCAACCTACAAGTTGCTTTCCATCTTGTTTTGTCTCCACTGTCCAGCTGAGAAGAGGGAGTGATAGAGTAGCTTGGGGACCACGTAGCATTCCACCAAGGTCAATACATCACAATAGTCTCTCTTCTACTGCTCAGCATAATCAGTCTTTAGATATGCACACATGCAGTTGCCTCTCAGTAAAAGGTATGAATTAGGGGATCATAATTCCTGTCTCTATAGTAAGTTAAACTATACTTATCACATGAAATTTTGAGTTTGGATCAAACTACAAAGAAAGTTTTATCACAAATTGCTTCTCAGACATAATCTACCAGTCCCTTCTCTTTCTCATTCACAATAATACTATAACCCTTAGCATTTTCTCACAATTTAAATGCTTGTGACCTAATATTTCATCTATGTATTTCATTGCCTACAGTGTAATTAATTCCTTCCTAGTGTCTAACTCAAACAACCTAGAAAAGAGACCTGGTTAATTTAAACCTGTTGGGGTTAAGTTATGCTTTAACCTTGGTCTTAACATTTACTACTCTCTCTCCCTTTTCCCCCTGTATTAAACTGTATTCAATCTGTGTCCATGAAACAAAAGCTGATTAAGGGACTCTTTGGTCATTACTTAAATCTCAGTTTTCTAGTCCTTTAATGAAGTGCTAGGCAGCTGTGGCTGTTAAATGCATATGTTTCTTTTGAGGATTACACATTTACTAATGACTGCAAGATGACTGTTTAGCAATGTATTAATAACTAATTATGAACTTATACTTATGCCAAATTGATTTTTGAAAATTATTTTAAATTTAGAGAAATTGACTAGATTGTCAAGAGATTAGAAAAAAGTGAATGCATAAAATCTTAGATTTTAAGTAATTTAAAAAGCAACAAAGCAAAACACTTGGATTTTTCTGTACTTAAAGGTCTCTTCCAATTAAATGCAAAATTTCCATAGAATGTGCAGAATATTCTGAATACATTTATAGTTTAAAATACATTTCAAATCATTGAAACACAGATTTTCCCAGAAAAAAAAAATTATAATCACTTCATCTGTCTAAAACCTGTTTTTATAATTATTAGTGCTTTTACTCCCATTAGGCATCGGCAGCATAGTTAACAAACAGGACTTTCCCTCCTGGCAATGTTGTGGCAAAAAAAGTAATTTTCTCATGACAATGCCTCCATATTTAGAAAAAATAGAGCAGATCTCTTTAACCATTTGAATGAAATGAGACATTTCACCACAGAATCAGGAGTACAAATCTAAGTCCTCTTTTTTCCTTATGAACAGATTTCACCACCATGACTCAAATGAAATACATAGCTATTCATTTTGAAAGGGGAATGTACTGACTTTGTCTGGGATGAAGGTAACTTTCCTCATAGCAGCCTGTAGGAGACTAGAGGAATGGTTGACTGGCTCAAAACAACCTGATGGGAATCGGTGGGGGAACAGAGTGAGCTCTGTGTAGGCGGGGTGGTGCACTGCTCCCCCCACCCCCTTGAGCCTTCTCAAACTGTGCTGAGTAGCTCAGGAGCATTTGAAAAGTCAGCTGCTGACCTGTACTGTAGTGGGGGTGGTTGACCTCATGGGACCACCAGGAATATTCTGGGTCTGTGTAAAGTATGAGATTTTGGTGCTGAAATTAGCATAAGCCCACCTGGAGGGCCCCAGCAGACCGGAACAGATAAGAGCATGGTGAAATATGTGCTGTATGGCACACTCCACTACCCTGGATTTAAAAGCTGCTGAGACCATGCTGGATCCTTGGGTGGTGACTATCTTCCTTTCTCTTTTTTCTTTCTCTTTTCTTATCTTCTTCTTCTCAAAATATATTGCAAAGTGGACTAAGGAAAATTCCACTCAGTGCCTTGCTAAGTGCCTTGTATCTGGATATGTTAAAGTTCACTAAGTTAATCTTTGCCCAGTACTTATTCCATTGGCATGTTCAAAAATTTGCAAGTAAAAGTTGTTTTTGAACCTCTGGAGAATCTTATTGTTTCTCCTATGTGCCATCGAGAGCAAATCCAGCTACCTTCCCTTAAACCTACCATGCAGACTGGGGCATTACACTGCCCGTATGGTGCTGTGTTTTAGATTTGTGGCCAAATCAGTGTTGATAGCAATATTTTGACTTTTACAGAGCACTGCTTATTCACTATCGAGGCCTTCTCTGTTTCCCACTGTTTCCTTTCTCTGTTTCCTACTCTGCCCAATCAGTGAGTATGCTGGGGTCACACAAGAGTTGGGGAGAGACACAGCCAGGAGACCTGATCCAAAATGACCAAAGGGATGTTCCATGCCATGAAACCTCAGGGTCAGAGGTAAATCTGTGGGAATTTTCCCAAGGTGGCCATTGCTTGTAGTATGGACATGGATCTTCTGGTGATGTGATTATTTTTGTATCGCTTGTTTGTTTACTTCTTTTTTTTCGCTTCACTTGTTAAATTCTCTCTTTACCTCGACCCATGAGTTTTCTATCTTTTGCCATTCTGATTCTCCCCCCGATCCTGCTGGGGGAATAGTGAGTGAAAAAGTGGATAGGGACATATTTGCCATCCACAAAAAGCGAAAGATTGGTCATTAACTAGCTATGTAAATTTTTATTTAAAATAATCCATAGAAATTGATTTAATTTAATTAATTTACATAGCTGAGTAAGCAAGGCTGGGATAGAATAATTTATTAACAAAATAATAAGATTTGACTATACTAAATAGTGAATATTGCCAACAAGTTTTGAATAAACCACTGCTCTTTAGCGAGGGAAAGCTTTCCACGAGAAATCAGTTTGTCAGTGTTTGGCTGTAATTTTTAGAGGCAGTATATAAAATCGTATTTTTTTCCAGTAGGTCAGATTTTGGTGCCTCTACTGGTGTTGCATAAAATAAATTTCCTTTGTCTGAAGATAGTCAATTTTGGAGGATGCAAAGATCTCAGATGGAACTGTATCGACATAAAAGTGAATGTAGAAACGAATCACGCTTTCATTTCAAGAAAAGCACGTAATGCACAAATGACCCCAAGTAGCCACATTTCTTTATACATTTGAATGGAATATTTTTCAGAATATTTTTCAGAAAATGGGATTTCTTTTAGATTTTGGTCTGCATACACATGTTGTGCTTTATACAAAAATGTATAATTTGAGATGCAGTTGTGATTGATATATTTCTAAAAGCAATAGCTGTGAGGCAGGGAATATCAAACATACTTATTGTGGGGAAACATATATCAATTAATCCAACTATTTATTTTACATAGAACGAAATGTCATCTCTCAAGTATGTTTACACCATGCTAACCTGACATAAACAAATCTACCTGTGGTGAGTTTTATAATAGAAATATTTTTCTTTGGAACAACTTGCCTTCCATTCCAATTCTGAGCTTTGCTGTAGAATGGAATGCGGTAAAAGAGCGATAGGCAACAAAGCAAGGATAGGTGAGGTGATCTGTTTCAGATAAATATGAGAGTAATGAAGATAAAGGCCATCTGATATGAGTGGAGAAAGGACAGGTTTTTTTATTACCACGTAACACCTTAAGAATACAAGAAGGTGAAGACATTTCCAATGTTTTTAGACAAAATGAAAAAAATTGGAAAGGAAAATAAAAAAGGAAGAAAGGAAGAAAGGAAATGCCTAAATAAGGAGGTCATAAACAAGGTTTTCATTTTTATCACAACAGCTAAAAATGATAAATTAAAATGAAAATATATGAAAATATTTTCTCATATGGAGCTTGGGATGATGAAAATACTGTCTGTGTTGGCTGTGATACGACAAAACCCTACGTAATTTTGAAGAAAAAAAAGATTAAAACAGATAAAAATAATTTTTTAAATTAATTTTGCTTTTGGCACAAATGCATAATTTTTTACTTCACATAAGACTGAGATCAGAATTCATTCTGTATTAGATTATATACCCAGATTTGAGGAAATTATTTCCCTTCTTTTCTCTTTTCTGGTCATCTGTGTATAAGACAGGTAAGTGGGAGAATATGGGACTATAGTGAGACAGTTTTGATTGCTAGAGCAAGCAGTAAAAGAAATTAACTTAAGTAAAAGAAACAAACATTTCTGGAAAAATTCCCATGGAACATGACAAATACTGTATACCGCAAGGGAAATTTTTGTTGTCATAGTCTCACATTGTGTAAGAAGTTTTAGCTGTATTAAAAATTGACTTTGTTGAACAGCTTATACATTTGTATATCAACATGGCTAGCTGTTAAATAATAGACATGACACCTTATTATGCAAAAAAGAGAGTTTCTAAGCACACAGTAAGGTACCTTTAATTTGCATCTAACTAGAAAGCAAGACTGGAGTGAAAAATAGAAAGTTGTTAGGACAGTTAGAATCATTGACCATGAGTAATTTCATTTAAGTCTAGTAAGGAATGCAAGAGTTCACTGAGCTCAGTGTTGAAGCAGTTCTTTATTCTTATTTATTTGAAGAACTGTGGTATAGAAGCTTAAAAAGCCTTGGAAGGTCTACAAACTTTTTAAAATTTGCTCCCATTTTAAGGTCTCTGACAGTTTAAATATTTGTATGAATGATACTTAACTTCCTTGTTTTCCAGAAGTCATATGTATGGTAATTTGGAATATTTTGTTCTACTTTTATCAAGAATCCAAAACTTGCTCCTAAGAAAGCACATAAAACAATGCAAAAAAAATCAATCTCTGGAATTTTTTCTTGAAAATAATTGAGACTTCAATATTGAAAATTAGGGGCTAATAGGTAACCCTTATCAATAGAAAGGTTTGACTTGGTCCTGCTCCAGTATGAGAACCTTTAGAGTCTCAATTTGTTCGGTTAAAGAAGCATTCCAGAATCAAGACTTTAATGAGATTCAATAAAAACCCATATCAAAGGGACTATGGGCACAGCACTGTAAGGCTTCTAAATCATGTAAGTATATAAAAGTATACATATCTATATTTGTTGTTGTTCCAAAAGAAGGAAAACCCCAAAATTATTAATTAAACTTTAAGGGCATTATTTTTATATTTTACATTTTTTGCATTTTTTGAAAACTGCAAGTTACTACATTTAGTTATTCTCAGGATAGCTGGTCCCACACTTTCCCCTCATATGTACCTTCTATATAGTAAGAGAGGGATAAGAAGCTTTTAAAAGTACAAATTTGTGAGTGTATAATTTGAGGAACTGTATTCTCAAAAAGTGTTCAAATTTTAAATAGTAAATTTTAAGCTCAAAAATTTCTTCAAAATCTGTTAAAATGAAAACGGATTTTAGTTATCCTACTGAACAATACCGCTCAATCACTGTAGCACATGATATTTCAATGGTGTATTTTATTTATTTACTGATTAAATAACTAATCCCTTTGTTCTTGATCCAGAAAGCAGTGAAAGTCTCACAAAGATTTTTATTCACCTTTTATTAGATTAGATGAAACTTCAAATAAAATAAGTCAAAAAAATAACATTCTAATGTTTACAAAACATTAGAATAGAGAATTTTAAAGTTTACTAAAGATAGGAATATTGTTTCTGTCAAAAAGAGAGATAGGTGTCAGGAAGAGAATAAGAAAAGAGCAAGCAAGAAAGTGGCAAAATTTCTGAATGATAAATTGGTAAGATACTGAAATTTGAGAAGAAAATAAATGAAAACTTCTACTAATCCTGATGGTTTCAGAAGGGGGCACAGCAGAGTCATCACAATATCATGAAGTGCTCAAAAAAGCATGTGGATGGGGCATATGTAGATATAGTTTAGTGGTGGGCTTGGCAGTGCTAGGGGAATGGTTGGACTTGTTGGTCTCAGAGGTTTTTCCAATCTTAATGATTGCATGATTCCATGCTGGGAGCTGTTTGCTGTTCACAGGAATCAGAGCACTTCTGGGCAGAGGGAAAGGCTGCAGCTTGTCCCTCCTGCAACCTTGGCCAACAACATCCAGTGGGGCTCATGGATGCTAGACAGTGGGTCCTGGTAGTGAAAATGAAAGTGAACTCTCTGGAAGTGGCAGGAGAAGGGGTAGCATGGGAGCATCACTGCAAAAATCCAGCAAGGCAAAGCACACTGGACAACAGGCTGGGATGTGCTTGGATGTTCCTCAGAGAAGGATCCTTGTGCTGCAAGATGTTCCCACAGCCACCCCTGTAGGCACCCTCATCCCTGATTCCAGCATGTATCTTGGATTTGCACTGAAAATCAAGGGATCAGAGGCTGGGAGAGGAACTCTGTTATCATCAGACATGGGGTGCCAGATGTGCTTGTAGTCTCGTGAGCTGTCCCAGCGTGGATTTGCCCCACAGGCTGACTACTACCACTTCCCCTGCCCCTCTACAACCTGCAAGGGGACACAAGGACTGAAAGGATCACAGAGAGCCAGAGAAAGACATTTGTACCTACCTCACTGAGAACTCTTTGGGAAGTACTATCCTTGAGAAGCAAGCCCCTTGCCTCCAAAAGGATGACCTAAATCTGTAGTTTTCTTGGGGAACACCAGCACACCCTTAAGAAACTCTGGCAAGGTTGAATTACTTCTGATCCTCTCAGAACAGGTACTCTAGCTCAAGCTCCTATTGCATCAAGTATGTTTTCCAGGTTCAGACTACTGGCCTTCAGTATGTCCAGCTAGATCTTTAGGTCCACCATGTTGTGGAAGTGGACCTTCAGGACAGGGACCTTCGCAGCCTAAACTGCCCGTATATATGCTTTTGTATCTGTGTCCATGGCACAAGGGGCAAAAGAAAAGCAGGAGTGGGCCCATGTGTTCCAGTGCTCAGGTTTTGTGCCATTTCAGTTCCACAAAGATGCAGATAAGGGGGAGAAAGACAATGTTGACAGAAAAACTTGCATGTAGCTTCACTGAAAAATCCAGTCCATAAGGTCCTTTTGCAAAGGTATCTGTAAAAAAGAAAAAAAAAATCAACCAACCAAAAAACAATAAAAATAAAAATTTGAAAAGGAACAGGATTGAAGATATTTGGGAGTCTGGAAGTCTGTTAAGGCTTGACCCAGAATCCTTTTAAATAATTTTTACTGTTTGAGGTGGGTTTTGAATCAGTCCTCTTGCATGATGCATATAGCAACATTGAGATACATGATATATACTGCACAACATGATGAAAAAATTGAGAAATTGAAATTTAAAAAAGATTTGTTGTTCATATATAACCCATACGCCATTTTCTGTACTTAATAATCTTTAATGGATTTCAGATTAGGCAAGATTCCTAAAATAGTATTTTGAAAGCTTTTATACTTGTCCAGGGACTATAGGATGATCTCAGAGTGGAATCTTATTTTCAAACAGGTAGAAAACCAGAAGTGAACT